GAAGGAAGGAAGGAAGGAAGGAAGGAAGGAAGGAAGGAAGGAAGGAAAAGCCAGATATGGTGGCACACACTTTTAATACCCAGAACTTGGGAGGCAGGGGCGGGTGGATTTCTGTGAATTCCAGGTCAGCTAGGGCTACATAGTGAAATCCTATCTAAAACATACCAAAACCCTAACCTCACATATATACAATAATGCAAAGGGGTATGTGAGCACCTCGCCCCCAAGCAATGTATGAGCCAATGTATGTCAACATCTTCCACAACCCATATAGATTTAGAATAAATACATAGGCTATGACCCATGTATGCCCCCACACACATTGTATACAATAGACCTTTTGGAAAAACGAATAGAGTTATGGATGTAACCTGTTTGCAATTCTACAACTAGTCACCACCTCATCTGTCTAGTTGGAAGTCAGCCTCTAGTATCCAGCACACAGTAGGGGGTCAGCAAATTCGTGTAGAGCAGTCTGTCCCAAGGAGTCCCTCAAGAGGCTCTAGAGTGGGGACCCTAAAAGGCAGTGAACTGTGCTTTGGCAGGGAGAGCAACCAGAAGATGGTAGGTGAAGGCAGGAAGGAGAGGGGCTTCCAGAGAAGGGCTCAGAACCTAGGTTTTGCCACCCATCTCTCTGCAATGGCATATCCCTGTTTCCCCAGGACTACCTGGACGCCCTCACTGGTATCTGCTATGATGGCATTGAAGGCCTTCTGTTCCTGGGTCTCTTCTCTATCCTGGCTGCCCTGGCATTCTCCACCCTGACCTGTGCAGGACCTCGAGCCTGGAAACACTTCATCAACAGGTAGGGTACCAGAAAGGTGACCCCCTGCAGCATGGAGGCTTTCTGTAGGGAACACCGATGAGCTAGTCACCTGAGACAGAGGAGGGCAGCAGAGGGTGTGGCAGGCTGGGTGGATTTCTCTGAGGATTAAAATAGATCCCTGCGAAAGTAACTGTCCCAAAGATGGTGACAACCAACCCTCCCGATGCTGCCCAGTATCCCTTGCTCTGCTTCCCAGGCAAGACTTTGCAAGGTGACGTGATGAGACAGAGGCCCCAGAAAATAGCAGGGAGGGTCAAAGCTATTATTGTTAAGATGGAACCTGTAGGCTCCTTATGGAGAGAGACAAAGACGAGATTTCAGGACCTCACGGATGGGTAAGATAGGGTGAGTGGGCCACCTCCCCACAGCCATGTCTGCAGCCAGTATGGTGCGCTGCCTGGAAGAGGTGGACTTGGAACTGGAGTCAGGCGGAGTAAGTCGTACCCCTGAGGACCATGCTTTTGTAGTTGCTAGAGAAGATGTATGCGGCCCAAGAGTATCCTAGGAAGAGAGACTGGGGAGCATAATAGGACCTTGAGCCTCAACCCTCATGGCCGACCAACATCTTGTTCTAGGGACAGAGACTATGGCGACATCGATGACGATGACCCTTTCAACCCCCAAGCCCGGCGCATCGCAGCCCACAACCCAATGAGGGGGCAGCTGCACAGTTTCTGCAGCTACAGCAGCGGCCTTGGCAGCCAGTGCAGCCTTCAGCCTCCCACCCAGACCATCTCCAATGCCCCTGTCTCCGAGTACATGTACGCACAGTAGAACCCCCGGGTCTCCCACACCCAGCAGAGCCCTCCCAGCCCCGGAGTGAGTTTGGGTTTATAGACAGAGTGTTAGGTCCCCAAAAACACATGCGGGAGGTCACACATCAGAGGTCACGGGTTGCCTGATAGGAGACCCCTCCACAGCCATGTATGCTGGAGAAAAGCACGCTGCAGGTGTCAAGATGTGGACTTTTCCCACAAGCCCTCAGGTCAGTCCCAGGCCTGAGAAGCTGCCCTTCTCCAAGCCATAGTGCTCCTGGCATCTGTCCGTCATTGGTGGTCTCTCCCCTGGTCCCCCTGGAGCAGTGGTTCTCAACCTGCGGAGTATCAGCTATCCTGCATATCAGATATTTACATTACGATTCATAACAGTAGCAAAATTACAGTTATGAAGTAGCAATGAAATGATTTTACAGCTGGGAGTCACCATAGCATGAGAAACTGTGTTAGTTGTCACAGCATAAGGTTGAGGACCACTGCCCTAGAGCATTCTTTCCTTTCTATTTTATTTATTTTAAATTTTTGAGGCAGTCTCACACTGTAGCCCAAGCTGTCTTCAACCTCCCCCATGTGCCGGGATTACAGGTGTGAGCCACCACCCCCGGCTCTTTTCCCTTTATTGTCCTACCCACAATCCCTCCATCATACCCACCTCCGCCTGCCGCCACCACCACTCTCGGCTTCCGTGAGCACAAGTTCCTGCACACACACCTGATCTCTCCTCTCGGCCCACAGGAACCAGGCCATACTCTTTGGTGGGAACCCACGATACGAGAACGTGCCGCTCATCGGGAGAGGTTCCCCTCCGCCCACAGTAAGTATTCTTCCGTGGCAAAGTCCCTATCAGGGACATAATCAAAGATAAAACCTGTCAACACAGTGCGTGATCCCCACAGAGATAGAAAAGAAGGCAACGGCTTTGCTATCAAATAGGTATTAAAGCGGGCTGCCACACATGTCACCATGTCACGGGAACATCAGCTACCCAGACCATAAAGACACAAAGCAAGCTCGCCCTGTTAGATGGTCTCCTGCGCATGGCCCACTGCACAGCTGTCCTCAAGATAAATGGCCTCTGTCTTCAATCAAGAGGACCAGCAAGAGCTTTTGTCCCACTGGCCCATCATAAATCCACCCGGTAGTTAGAGTAACATGCTTGGCTGGTTGTTGTTTTCACTCAGAGGGAAAAGCACATTTCTCATACCACGCGACAATCAGGGGCCTCCAACTTGGAGCGCGGCATGTAAGCTGTCACTGGGGAGGGAGTGTCTTCTATGGTAATGGCTTTTACAGGGCCCTCAAGAAAGTGTTCCTAGGACTAGGGATGTGGATCCGTTGGTAGAGCCCCTGCCTATGCATGAGGCCTTGGATTCAAACCCCAGCACCATGGAAAACTGGATGTGGTGATTCAAGAAGTTCAAGGTCACACAGAACAAGTTCAAGACCATCCTAAGACATAAGAGATCCTACTTAAAAAAACTTAAAAGAAAAAAAAAAACGTTATTCTTGTAAGACCAGAAGGAAATTTCTGCTTTTTTTCATTTATTATCTGTTGTGCTGGGGTTTTTGCCTGTCCCCTGTACATGCACATGCCTGGTACTTGTTGAGGCCAGAAGAGGGCATCAGATCCCCAGGGACTGGGGTTACAGGTGATTTTAAACCATCATGTGAGTGCTGGGAATTGAACCTGGGTCCTCTGGAAGTCGGTGCTCTTAACCACTGAGCTGTCTCTCCAGCCCCTGCTTCACCTCTTTAAAAGGTTAAGGCTGAGTTAGCTCAGTGGTAGGGCACTTGCTTAGCATGTGGAAAAGCGAGGAAAAGCATCATGGTATTTTCCTAAAAAGGATAAATGCTAGATGGTCTCTTTCCTGTCTGTCTTTCTGCCTTTCTGTCTGTCATGGTTTGCTTTTCTGCTGCTGTGATAAATACCAGTACCGAAGGCAACTGGGAAGGAAAGGTTTCTTTGGCTACGTCTCCTCATCCTAGCCCATCATTGCAGGAATTCAGGGCAGCAGCTGATGCAGAGGCCCCCTGAGGAACTCTGCTCCCTGGCTTGCCCCTCATGGCTTGCTCAGCCTGCTTTCTTATAGAACCCAGGACCACCTGCCCAGGGTGGGGCCATAGGCAGTGGACTGCACCCTCACGTGGCAGTTCTCAACCAAATGCCCCGCAGATAACCCACAGGCCAATCTGATGGAGGCACTTTCTCAGCTGACATTCGCTCTTCCCAGATGACTTGAGCGTGAGTCAAGTTGACAGAAAATTAGCCAGCAGGAGACCAGGTCTCACTTAGCGGAAGATGACCTTAAACGCCTGACCCTCCTGCGTCTACCTCCCAGGTGCTGAGACTATAGGCCTGTGCTACCAACTTCTCGTTTCCTTTCTGTACCAGGGAGAATCTAAGAGATTTCTTCAGATTCTGGGGCTAGGTTGACTGCTAAGCCAATGGGCTGTAGCCCCATGCCCTTCTCTTTAAAATTTGTGTTTCCCGTTAATCCTGGGGCCAGAGTGTTGTAAGCCAGAATAAGCAGCCAGGACAGCTGCTGCTGATCACAGCCCTCCTCCACCCTGGCAAAACTCAGAAGCCCCCAGGGCCATGCCCAGGTGAGCTCTTGCTTCTCGCCTCCTCTACCACTTCCAACCAAGAAGCAGTACGAGGGTAGAGCCCAGGAAGTGCTGGGTGAATGGGTAGTGGAGAAAACACCATGCTGTCTGTTCCCAGCATAGCATCCACAGAGCCCAGGATTACTGCAATGGCAGAGAGCTGCAGGTAGGAGCGGTACATGGACTCTGGAGTCCAGGTGGCTGGTTCAAATCCCGGCTTCTACCTTGTGGCCTATGTCACCTAGGGCATGGACTCTCTGTGCCTCAGTTTCCCTGTGTGTAGTAGAATGGGGTTGCTGGTGATACAAGTGTGAGCATTGGAGGGATGGATCATATTAAGTCATCATGGGCAGTGCACAGTAAACGCCATAGGTCGGAAGACTGGATCTTTTTGAAACTTCTCTACAGAGGCATGGCATTCATAAGAAAAGGCCAGGATAAACGTCTGTGAGGGCAGTGGGTAGACTCTTTCTAGTGTCTGTCCCCATGGAGCCATTCCTCCTGCCCATCCAGGTTGTTTCAAAGGCGGACCAGAGCCTCATAAAGTAGCACTAAATACCAGGGACCAGTGGAGTGACCCTGGGCCCTGGGAACCCAGGAAGTGCACAGATGGGCAGTTAGCAGCACTCCTGGCTTGCCCGATGCAAAACTGTCCATAACAAATCCTGCTTTTCCTTCCCATAGCTCCACTTCTGTGTTTTGCCCTGAAAACCTTACTTACTTTTCTCTTATAACTATTATTTTGTTTGTGTGTGTGCACGCGTGTGTGTTATGTATAGGAGTGCACAGGGAGGATGAAAGAAGGGTCCCTTGGAACTGGGTTATAAGCTTATTGAGGTGGGTGCTGGGAACTGAACTCGGGTCCTCTGGAAGAGCAGCAGGTGCTCTTAATCGCTGAGTTGTCTGGTCATCTCCCTTATTTTTTTAAACAGGGTTTCGTGTAGCCTGAGCTGACCTCTTAACTAACTCATAGCTCACTGTGTAGCTGAGGCTGACCCCTTAACTCATGCTCACTGTATAACCAAGACTGTCCTTGAACTTCTGATGCTCCGGGCCCCTACCCCCCAGTGCAGGGTTCACAGGCTTGCGCCTCCTGTGGTTTATGTAGTAGTGACTTAGAGGCTGCACCTTTAAAATCCCATCCTGCCTTCTGCTAGTCAGCTTTCTAGACCTTTCTTTCTCCCTCCAGCTGTCAGGCCCCAGGGACACAGGCTGACTTTATTATTAATCTAAGCCAAACATGATTTGGGAAAATCTGCTGCTGGGAAAAAGGAATTAATCGCTATACTGCGATTGTAAATAAAAGCGATTTCTAGGTTACCTTCTGTTTGAGACAATCAGGCCACTCTCTACGTCCTCGACCGAGGTAAACAACAGCTGACCTTGTTTGTGAGGCTGGAGGATAGAACAGCCCTCATTGCCTTGGCAAAGGTGATTACCAGCTGTCCCATCTCAGCCAGCCCCAGAGGAAGAGGCCCACCCTCTGCCCCTGCTGGGGACTTCTGCAGAGACGGGTGCTGATGCTGTTGACCGTGGAAACCAGCAGGATGAGGATGTGGGCATCTGTCTCAGGGAACACAGCACAACTGGCTGCCCTCCACCCCATGTGCCGTCTCTGAACTCTCAGCCCAAGCTGTGAGGGGGAGAGGGTTCTGCCTATGCCTCCACCTCACTTGAGTGGGTGAGGGAGAGGAAGCAAGACCGCCAACAATTCAGCCTGGAAAGTGTCTTCCCCTTAGTTCTATCTCCACAGAATCTCTCTTGTGTTTCCAGACCCTTCCCTAGACCCCAACAAAAATAACTCAGGGTCATTGTGAAGATTCCATTGTGAAGATAAGCTTTTCCATCCCATAAAACAGCAGTATTCTTGTAAGCCCTGAAAGGGGTGGATTGGTGCTAAGGACTAGAACTCAGGACCTCACACATCCTCTGTCTACCGCCAGGCTATACTCTCAGCCCCAGGAGATGGGCTTTACAGACAGCAAAGGACCAAGGAAAGCAGAAACAAGGAACGAAATTCTGATTGGTCTTTTCCGAGTTCTGTCTTGTAAAAGAGATCCTTGTAGTCCTTACTGCTGGGTAAGGATTAAAGCAGAGGGAACCTCATGATGGCCTCGCTTGAAACTGACCCGTTTCGAGGAATCCTGGCTGTTCTCATTCATATGGCTCTTTAGTGTGAGTGATTCCATTTTGATTTTCAGTCTGGCCCAGTGTAGGACTCCATGACCCCTGTCATTTTCTTATAATAATAGTTGTAGGGGTTTTTTTGTTGTTTGGTTTGGTTTGGTTTTGTTTGTTTGTTTGTTTGTTTGTTTGTTTGTTTTTGATTTTTTTCAAGACAGGGTTTCTCTGTGTAGCACAGGCTGTCCTGGAACTCTGTAGACCAGGCTGTCCTCAAACTCATAGAGATCTGCCTGCCTCTGCCTCCAAGTACTGGATTTAAAGCCGTGCGCCACCACTGCCCAGTGTTGTTGTTGTTGTTGTTAACTCTTTACTCTTTTGCTCTTATGGGGACCCGCCACCCAGCTCTCAAATAAATCACATGGAGTCTTATTATTGCTTATGAATGCCTGGCCTTAGCTTGTTAAATTATCCCATCTAACTTTTGCCTCTGGGCTTTTATCTTTCTCTATTATATATACGTTTCTTTGCTTCTTACTCCGTGGCTGGCTGTATAGCTGGATGGCTGGCCCCTGGAGTCTTTTCTCCTCCTTCTCTCATTCCTTGATCCTCCTTTCCTCTCTCTTCTCTATTTAGTCTCTCTGCCTGCCAGCCCCGTCTGTTTCTCTCTCCTGTCCATCTATTGGCTGTTTAGCCCATTATCAGATCAATCAGGTGTTTTAGGCAGGCAAAGTAGCACAGCTTCACGGAGTCGAGCAAATGTCGCATAAAAGAATGCAGCACATCTTTAACTAATATTTCACAACAAATAGCAGCACAGGGGTTCTCCTTAGACTCGTTGAAACAGACCCTCCCAGGGAAGCAGCCTGGGAGATTTGAAGTCTAACAAACTTACAGGCGAGTTTGAGGAACATTGCTTTCAGGGGGTGGGTCTCATGCTTGTGTGCGCACTGGAACCTATGGGCTTGTGGAATCTGGGCTGGGACCCAGGCAAAACTGATGCTGGAGGCCTGGGAGCCAAAGTGGAGAGCCAGCACTCTCAGGCTGCCTTGCTCAGCAGTCCCAGTGCTCTAATGGGCAGGATGGTCCTGTGTGATGGAGGCCCGCGCGCTGTGGGATGCTTACCTGGCTTCTGCTTGCTAGTTTCCGTCGTATCCCGTCCTCAATCCTGCCCCAGCTGTGACAACTGGAGCATCATTAGATGTCGTAGGTGTGTCTGAGAGACAAGATCACCTCATGGAGGTGCACTGGACCACCTGAAGAAGTGCTCCGTGTCCTTTCTCCTCTTCATCGTACCCCCAGTGGCATGCTTGCTGTTGTGTGTGACCTAGACCTCAGAAAGGTCCCTGGGGCTGGGAGACTCAGATCCTGGGGTCAGCAGACCAGCAGCAGTCACGAGCTTGTCAAGAAATGTAAAATGTCTGGCTGGGTGGTAGTGGCACGCACCTTTATCCCACCCAGCACTCGGGAGGCAGAGGCAGGCGGATCTCTGAGTTGGAGGCCAGCTTGATCTACAAAGCAGATTCTGGAACAGCCAGGACTGTTACACAGAGAAACCTAAAACCCTGTCTCAAAAAAAAAAAAAATCACCGAAGGAAGGAAGGATCAGTAGCAAATAGCACTCCCTCCTCATGCAGGGGACTCAGGTTCAGTTCCCAGAACCCACACAGAGGCTCACAACACCTGATCCTTGAGTTGCAGGGGTTCAATGCCCTCTTCTGACTTTTGCAGGCCAGGTACACATGTGGAGCGAATGCGCACGCAAATGCAAAACACTCCTGCAGATAAAATCAGTCTAAACATTTTCTCAGCAGGAGCGGAAATGTTGCCTCTCAGTCCCGGGTCAAGGTCCCTGATGGGGTATGCTGGGTTTGCACACGCGCCCCAGCTTCTTCAATTCTGGAATTCCCAGAGCAGCATGCTTTAAAACTGTTATTGACAGTTTTAAGTTTGGTTTTCTATTTTCTGTATCATACCTCAATACAGGGAAAAACAAATCTTAGTGGGTGTGGCCCGAGTGTGGGGATGTTAAAGCACCCTATTTATTTGGAGACCCTTATAGCAAGGGTCTTGCTGAATTATTTTAGGTCTGCTTTTTTCAAGCGGGGAAACAGGCCAGGAGAGGTTAGAAGACCTCCGCCAAAGTCCCGGATAAGGTAAAATGTATAGACGGGGACTGGATGATGGTTCAGGCAGGAAGGTGCATTGCCTTGTAAGAACCTGAATTAGAGCCTCCAGAATTATAAAAAAGCATATATATATAAATTTATACCTACATAATAAAGAGCTAGGTGTGGAGTCTGGACTGTAATCTCAACACTGGAGAGTGGAGATGGGGCTCACTGGCCAGCCAACTTCACTTATTGGGGAGGCTTTAGGTTAATGAAAGACCTTGTCTCAAGGGGAAAAGAAGGGTGGACGGCAGCTACACACCTACAATGCACACTTGGGATTCGTTCGGACCTGGTTCCTAGAATCTGTGGACCTGCGCCCCTCCGTCTGCTGGCTGCTAACTGCTCCGAATGTCCCTAGTGCGCCTGATACAGCCCAGTGCTATGCCTCAGTGAGAGTGCAGCCTGGGGGGGTGGGGGGAAGGAGGATTCCTGCTCTGTGTTCATGTGCTAGGCTAGAGGCTAAAGCCTGGGGCCCCCCCGAGAGCTGTCAGACTCGGCATCAGTGAACATGAAGCTTCTCACGCCACCCTGGTATTCCCCCAAGCTGTACAATACCTTGTGATAGAAAACACCATGTCTGACTGCTGTACCAAGTTCCCGGAATCTTCGATGATGCAGTTGCTCCCTCTATGTACACAGAGGACCAGCTCCAGACATCCCAAAAGTACCAAACTCCGACGATGCTCAAGCTCCCCATTTAAAATGATGTGCTGTTTGCCATGTAACTGGCTTCATTGCCTCTGAGTGTGGTGACACACACACACACCATCTCTCTGGAGGCTGAGACCAAAAGACCCTTTTGCGTTAGAGTCTAACCTGGCTACATAGGGAGTTCCAGGCTATCCTGGACTACAAAGTAAGACCTCATCTAAATAAACAAGTAACAGAAATAATAGAAGAAAACCAGAAAGTACATACATGCACAATACAGGATTTTTTTTTTTCCAGTAGCTTTGATTTGATACAAAGTTAGTTGAACCCTTGGGTGTGGAACCAGCATCCCCAGAGGGAAAGACGGGCTGTATAATGTCAGGTTGACCCAGTAGTGAGCTGTACCCCCGTTCTGACTGCCCCTCCTCTCCTCCACAGTACTCTCCCAGCATGCGGGCCACCTACATGTCCGTGGCAGATGAACACCTGAGACATTACGAGTTCCCATCGTAGCAGCTTCCGGGGTACCTGCCGCCTCCTGCCAGCTTGGTTTTCAGCAAATGCAGATCCCAGCTGTGTTTCTGTAACAGAAACTGAAAAGTTCCCGGACGGGCAGGCTCCTGTGGCTGCAGGGACACAGCTGGTACTCCTGACCAGAGCCACAGGTGGACAAGACCAGCCTCGGGCCAAGCTCTCTGGCCCAGGGCTCAGGGCCTGGTTCAGTCCTCCCTTTAGTCTCACCCTCAGCAGAGGAGAAGTGGCAGTGAGGAGGGGACCACAGCCGAAGAGCTCCATTCTCAAGGTCCTGCCACCGGGCCCCTGTCTCTTGTTAAAGTGGCCCTAAGCCCAGGCTACACCTTCCAGTTAGTTACTGTGTCCTCGGTTCCTAGCAGGTGACAATTGGAAATGTGTTAGAACACATGGTCCAGGAACCGCATTCTGGGACCACGCAGACTCTACCTAGACCACAGGATAGCATTACAAGTACTTCCCAGAGGGGACTGGTGGCACCAAGCTGGGCACTGCAGTCTGGCAGTCTTGGGCAGGAGCTGGGGAGAAAACCTGCCATGTTCTGCCTCTCTCACCTCCACCAGCCACCTCCATTCCGGAGCCAGGTCTCAACTGCAGGCAGGGACAGTCTCAGGTATGAATGGACACTTTGAAAGCAACCAAATTCTTGTTCCCAGTATGTTAAGACATTTTGATCCAAAGAGTCGCACCTCCTGCCCAGGCACCTCAGACAGGCTCAGGTCCTTCACCTGTTTCCGTACCCTGGCTCTCACATAAGCCATGCTACAGATCTGTAGGAGAAGCTGGGAAGTGGGTTGTGGGTTTTTGTTTTGGTGCGGGCGGGCCTTGGCCTAGAACTCACAGAGATCCACCTGCCTTTGCCTCCAGAGTATTGGGGTTAAAGATATGCACCACAACACCAGGCCAGGAGCAGATTTTGGGAGGGGTTTTGAGATATGATTTCTCTGTGTACCCTTCGCTGTCCTGGAACTCAATCTGTAGACCAGGCTGGCCTCAAACTCACAGAGATCCACCTGCCTCTGTCCCCAAGTGCTGGGATTAAAGGTGTGCACCATCACGCCCAATTCTTTCTTTTTTCTTTTCTTTTCTTTTTTTTTTTTTTATAAAGATCACTGAGACGACATGTCCCAGACGGGTAGAGAAGGGTGTTCTGGGGCCCTGTAAAGGAACAGACATAACTAAGAAGGCTGAGGGCTTTTTCTATCCTGAAGAATAGGCATTTACTGGCTAGGAGAAAATAATGATCCCTGTCCTACCTGCTGGGGGACCAGGTTAGGCCATTTGGTGCTTCTAACTTTCTGCCAACCCAGAGTACACGACACACTAAAGCCCCGTGGCCTTGCACACCTAAGCAGGGCCTGGGTGATCCTGTGCGACAGGACCCTTTCCATCTCAGAAGAGCCACACTGTCATCGCACTGACAGCTCCCAGCCAAGCCGCCAGGCGCCGGCCTCACTGTGTCTCATATTAACCGGTGCATACTGTGAGCCACCTTTCTGTGTCTGTGTCCTGTGACCTCAAGGCATTTGCTTCTAATGTCTCCTCTGCAGCAATGGAAGGACTTTTTAATGCATGTACATTAAACTAAAACTCCTCCGGGTTCTACAGGAGTCAGGTGGGCAAACCTCTCTGCTTGAAACGTGTTCGCCCTCACCTGAGCCAAGAAATAAACCCTTTCTCTTAAGACGTGCGGTTGACTGCATCACTTAACTTGCTAAGCTTTGGGGGACTAGCAAGGGTGCACGTCCTCTCCACAGAGGTCCGGGAGGGAGGGACTACGAGAGGCTCCTCCTGCAGCAGTGTCAGATTTCAATGAGAGGGCAAGATGGGGGCTGTGAGGAGCTGGGTAGATGGCTCCGCAGGTATGAGTACTTGCAGTTCTTCCAGAGGATCTGAACGACACCCACATCAAGCAGTTCATAACCCCCCATAGCTCACTCCATCTCCAGGAGATCCACTGCCCTCCTTCTGATCTTCCGGGATAACCATATACATATGATATACACACCGAGAAACATATATACACATACATAGAAATTAAGCAAATCTTGGAGCTGTAGAGATGGCTCAGTAGTTAAGAGCACTTGTTACTTTTGCTGAGGACCCGGCTTCGGTTCCCAGCACCCACATGACAACCCACGGTCCTTGGACACTGCAGTTCCAGAAGACCTAATGCCCTCTTCTGGTCTCCATGGGCACGCAAACGTACGCTGCACATACATGAAGGAAAACACTCATACACAGGTCTCATTATGTAGCATTGGTCGACCTGGAACTCACTGTGTAGACCAGGCAGGCTTAGAACTCAATGAGATCGGCCTGCCTCTACCTTCCAAGTGCTGGCCCCAAAAGGTGTGTGCTACTACGCCCAGCATGAAAACATTTTTTTTGCTTATTTTGTGTTTTGAAACAGCTTCTCTGTGTAGCCCTGGCTGTCTTAGCACTCACTCTGTAGACCACACTAGCCTTGGTGACTTCCGTCTTCCGGATGCTGGGACTAAAGGTACGCACCCCCACATCTAGCTATGAAATCTTTTTAAAAAAAGAAAAAAGAAAGAAAGAAAAGAAAAAAGAAGGGGCTTTGAATGGCTATCTCAGGTCACAGGGGCCTGTGGCCTTTGCCTATTTTTTTGTTTTGTTCTTGTTTTTCATTTGTTTGTTTGTTTGGTGGTGGTGATGGAGTGTGTGTGCATCATTACTTGCGCGTATGTGTGTGTGCGATTACTTGCATGTGTGTGTTTTACACATACACCAGAGGACAAAGGACATTGACTCTTCTGCTCTACCCTCTTGGGTATGGCGTCCCTTGAGATGGCGTCTCTCAGTTAGTCTGTCAGCCAGAAACGCTCCTGTCTTCCCCCACTGCAGCACTAAGGTCACAGACATGTCACACCTGGCTTTTTAGGTGCGTACTGGGGATTTGAACTCAGGTCCGCATGCTTGTACAGCAAAAGCTCTTATCTGGCCGGGCGGTGGTGGCTCACGCCTTTAATCCCAGCGATCCCAGCACTCGGGAGGCAGAGGGAGGCGGATTTCTGTGAGTTCGAGGCCAGCCTGAGCTACAAGAGCTAGTTCCAGGACAGGCTCCAAAGCTACAGAGAAACCTAGCCTCGAAAAACAAAACAAAACAAAAAAAGCTCTTATCTGAGCCACCTCCCCCACCTCTGCCTGTAGCCCCTCTTACAGAACCAGGGCCAGGCCCCGTTTCTACTCTGAAGGTCATCCGTTGCTCATCCCAGGCTGCTATAGTAAGCAGTCTTTATTAAGTGTTCACGGGGCGCCATCAGTCCTCTCTGGTGTTGATATAAATCTTTCATTGTTAGCCCTCAGAGTATATCTATAAAACAGTAGTTCTAGTAGGTGCATCAAGGGTCAGGATCTGGTTGGATTGAGGACAGACCTAGGTGTCACACCCAGAGCCCTGGACCCCGTGCTGGGTGACTCTGGGTGGATATGGTATGGGGCAGTGGTCAGGCAGGAGCTGCCCGGACTACGCTCCTCCAGCTGCAATCCATGGGTACTGTGAACTCCCGAGCGCACCTTCAAAGGTTGCTTCTCAGGACAGGGATGACTGGACCCATGCCTCTGGGGCAGCCATCCCTCGCCGCAAGTCTCTGCTGGCTCAGCAGCCCCGAGTCTGGTGCTTCCCCCCTGTCAGAGTGACGGTTCACACCCCTGCGCAGCTGAGCTTCCGGAGCTTCCTGGAACATCGCCGCCGAGCTCCTGGGAAACTGCTGTAACCTTTGGGGGTGCTTGAGGGGAGGAGCTGAGCGTCACATGCAGATGAGCTCAGCGACCCAGAAGTGGCCCCGTGCTCTTGTGGCTTTTCCCGGGCTCTGCCGGCCCTAGGGAACCCACGATGAGTAAGAACGGTATGGGAACTCCCATAACTAGCTTGATTTGGGGGGGAAATTGCTTCTTAGCACCCAGGTGACGTAGGCTGTGGGGGCCTTTATGGTCTCTGCTAACTTGATGAAGCTTGAGTTGCAGAAGGACTGCGACAAGTAGGAAAGCCAGGACTGGAGAGATGGCACCGTCTCTCTGCTGTTCATCATCTGGCTGCTCTTCCAGAAGAACTGGGTTCAATTCCCAGCACCCGCATGGTAGATCCCAACCATCTGTAACTCCAGATCCAGGAGATTCAACGCCCTCTTCTGGCCACTGTGGGTACTGCCTGCACATGGCGCACAGACGGAAATGCGATCAGTACACCCATACACTCAAAACTTTACTTCTCTTATTTAAAAAAAAAAAAAAATAGAAAGGTGATTCTGTGTGCACAAGCCCAAGGGTGGTCATGTCAGCCCTGTGTCACCTCTCTGCCCCCAGAAAAATCCGCACACTAGCTGCAAACCAAGGGAAAGTGCGTGGTGGCCAGAGGTCCGTTCACTGTCCGCCGCTGGGCTCGTCTGTCTGTCATCTGCTAGTGACATAACCGCAGACCCAGGAAGGGCCAGCTGGAGGAAGAGGACGGCCAGTAGCCTGCTCCCTGGGGGAAAACTGTACTCCACAGAGGCTCTCAGCGAGCTCAGGCTTCCCCGGGAACAGATGTCCCCAGTGCTTCAGACTGAACCCAGGGCCTTGCTCATGCTAGGTGGCCGCTCTGCCGCTGAGCTACACTCCCAGCTTGGCACTCCCTCCTCGCTCCACACTGTGCTCAAGAGGCCAGCAATGCCCACTGCCCAGTCAGATAGGAACCGTCCTTGCCAGCCCCCGTGAGCACTTTGATCTGTGTCTCCTAACCCACAAAGCCTAACTATGTGATGGCCCCCTCCTTTCTCTGAATTCTAGGGTAGTAGGGGTGTCTGGGAAGACATGGTCATGGGTCTGGAATGGAGTTTCCAAATAGTCATGTAGCAGAACCAGCTCTGATTGCTTGGATACGGGTTAGCTTTTGTGGGTAAGACTCCCAGGATCGTGTGCTTCCTGTTTTAGCTAGTTCTCTCTCTTTCTCTTTGTGTGTGCATGTGCGTGCATGTGTGTGTGTGCGTGTGCGTGCATGTGTGTGTGTGTGTGTGTGTGTGTGGTGTCTGGTGGTTTTGGTTTTGATTTGAGATGAAGTTTCACTATATGGCCCTGGCTAACCTGGAACTCACCATGTAGAACAGACAGCCTGGAAATCTGTAGGCCTCTACTTCAGGAGGGCTGGGATTAAAAGGCACCCAACTTGGTCTAGTTTTGTTTGTTGTTTGTTCTGAGACAGATTCATACAGCCCAGCCTAGCCTCAAACTTAGTGTGTAAGGCTGACCTTGAATTTCTCATTCTCTTGCCTGTACCACAGAAGCATAGCATCATGGTTTTACTCCATTTTAAAATTATAAAAAACAGAAAACAAAACAACAAAGAATGGTGAAAGCAGAAGGCAATGGGGGTAGATATGATCAAAGTGCATTTATCCATGCATGCATGTATGCATAATGAAAGCCCTAACCCTGCACTATTAATATGCACTGCTGTAAACCACTAAGAAATCTTTCTGTAGAGTAGCTCTAAGTCCTGGTGTGATGGAGCTGGTACTTACAGCACTTAGGAGGTGGAGGCAGGAGGATCAGAAGTTCAAAGCTAGCCTGAGTTACGGGAGACCCTGGGGGAGGAAGCCAGAGGTGTGGTGTAATGGAGTAGGAACCTGCCTGGAGTTTGTCCAGGGCGGGGGCTGATCTAAGCAAAGAATTTCTGTGGCCAGTTATGCTGTGATTGGGCAGAAATCCGAGAAGCTGAGAAAAAAAGAAAAAAACAAACCACGTAGGACTTTATGAATAGTCCTAATTATATGACCTCATGCTGGCCTCCCATGGTGGCTGAGCTGGACCTTGAGCCAAGAGCTCAAGAGCTAAGCGTGAGTGAGTGAGTGAGTGAGTGAGTGAGTGAGTGAGTGAGTGAGTGAGCAAGCCAGTGTTGGTCGGCTTTACACAGGTCTGAGTGAGGGGAGGGGAGGAAAGGGGAGGGTGTTGTGGGGTGGGAAGCTGAGGATAACATCATTGTCATAATAAAAACTGAGTCCAATTTCCCCCACCCCCTTTTCTTATCTACACTCCACCCCCGCTTCCCTATCCCGCGTCATCAGAGGGGCCCCAGCTCGCAACCCCAGCCAACCATGGTGCTCTAGCCTGGAACTGCTCAGCTTGCTCCTCTGGTCCCCATCATGCCCCACCCCCACTCCGGGACTCACTCCCCACTCCATCCCCTGCAACTCAAAACCACTTTCTAGGGCTCAGTTCCAACCCCATATCCCACATCTTGGTGACTCATTCTTTGCCTGGCTTCATCCAGATCTCCAGTGCCCACGCCTGGCCTCAGGTTCACCTCATCCTCTGGAGCCTGTAGCGGCAAGCACAGTGCTGGCCGTGCCGCAATGCGGGCTGGGCCGTGGCACAATGCGGGCTGTGTCTGATGGCACATCTTCCCATTACCCCGAAAAACTGTCACGGTCCCCCTGCTGTGAAGATGTGGAAAGTTAAACCCCAGAAATGGAAACTCAGGTTGGAGATGCAGTTCACTGGTAGAGCTCTGACTTTTCATTGGCTAGGCCTTGTCCAGTCCCAATACTGAAAGAATGTCTTAAGTCATGGGTCGATTATACAAGAAAGCTTTTAATTGGGGGTTTGCTTATGGTTTCAGAGATTAGTCCGTAATCACCACGGAAGGAAACATGGCAGCATGTAGGCACACATGATGCTGGAGCAGGAGCTGAGAGCTGCATCCTGATCCATAGGCCGCAGGAATAGAGGGACACTGGGCCTGGTGTGGATTTGGAAACCTCCAAGCCCACTCCCCACTAGTGACACACCTCCTCCAACAAGGCCACACCTCCTAAGCCTTTCCAGACAGCTTTGCCCAACTGGGGACTAAGCATGCATATTTGTGAGCCTGTGGGGGGCAATCTCTTTCAAACCATCACCAGGTACAGGATAAATAAATGACCAGTCTAGGGTCCTCAGCTCCAAATGCTCTTAGGGTCTTCTGGGAAGCCATATGAGATTCTGTAGTTTTCTTTCTCCTTAAAATAAATCACTGCCACGCCACCTCCTGCAGAGTCTGTGTGGTCTCTCCTGTAAGATGTAGCCCAAGCTTCAAAAAAGAATGCCCGCAGAGAAGGTATGTGTGCTGAGCTTCCTGCATTGGAGCCCTGGACTTTAGGCATTACCTGCTTATGTTCTAAAAACTAGAGTCTGGGGCTCGAGAGATGGCTCAGCGGTTAAGAGCATTGCCTGCTCTTCCAAAGGTCCTGAGTTCAATTCCCAGCAAACACATGGTGGCTCACAACCATCTGTAATGAAGTCTGGTGCCCTCTTCTGGCCTGCAGGTGTACATAGAGACAGAATGTTGCATACATTATATATATATATATATATATATATATATATAAACTAGAGTCTGGTCTGTCCCCCCCCAAAATAGTATGTTTAAGTTTCCAGAGTTTACTAATGAGTCATTGCCATATACAAGAGTATACAATGTTAATAAAAAAAAGATGGGTTAACATTTTAAAAAAAGGTTTCCAGGTTAATCTGATGCTTATTAAAATTAAGACAAATCCAGCAAAAATAAGATAAAAGTAAAAAAAAAATGCCTGTAACTTCTTAAGATTGGTTCTGGGGATGGTTTTAAAAAGTTAATATATAAAAATAAATAAAAATAAATTACAAAACTATAAAAAGATTGTAGACTGTGTGACTGTCAACCTCAACCACTTGCCCTTAGCTCAAAATGCCATAAATTCATAACTTCGATAATGACTTATATTAAAATTAATGCCAAGCCATGTCTAGCATGATTGACCATAGACAGACTCACACCAAAAATGTCTGTCTGATAAAGATCTGTTTTTATGTATCTAATATGATAATTTTAAAAATAATCTATACCACATAAAAAACAATACATGCTGTTTTGTTAAACAATCTTTTCTATATATAAAAAAATGAGCCTCATGTCTAGTAAAGACACATTCAGATACAATTCCTTTAAATCTTGTGTCTGTTTGTAATTTGCTGACCTGCCTATTCCTGAGACCCTGTCCCGTCAGTCCCAGTGATCTGGCTGAGCTGGTCCGTGGCAAATCACTGTGCATGTGTGTGTGTGCATGCGAGTGTGTGTGCACTCATTACACTCATGTGCCATACATAGCACAAATATGGAGGTCAGAGGACAGCTTGGGGAAGTCAGCTCTCTTCTGCACCACGTGTGTCCAGGGGCTCAAACCCAGGCCATCAGCTGTGGTGACAAGTGATGTAGGACTAAACCTCCCTTCTTTAATTTTTAAAAATTACTGATTTATTATTATTATTATTATTATTATTATTATTATTATTATTATTATTATTATTATTATTGTGGGTGTGTACCTTGGCAGATGTAGGTCAGAGGACACCCATTCTCCTTTTCCACTTTTACATGCCTTCTAGGATTTGAACTCAGTTTGTCAGGTTTTTGAGGCAAGCGCATACTGCTCACTTAGCCATCTTGCCGGCCCTCGATATGGTTTTCTAACCCCTCCTGCATTTTCTTTTCTCTTTTCTTTTTTAATATTTATTTATTTTGTATACAATATTCTGTCTGTGTGTATGTCTGCAGGGCAGAAGAGGGCACCAGACCTCATTACAGATGGTTGTGAGCCACCATGTGGTTGCCGGGAATTGAACTCAGGACCGTTGTAAGAGCAGGCAATGCTCTTAACCACTGAGCCATCTCTCCAGCCCCCTCCTGCATTTTCTCACTGCATTGTCTTAAGCTCAGAAGAAGCACGCCTCTCACTGGTCATTCATACTTCCATCTGCTCTTTCATTCATGCAGTGAGCCATGTTCGCTATGTGCCAAGCACACGGCTAATGCCATGCATATATTCAGTCTGACCCTCGAGGAATTTCCGTTCTGGAGATGTGTTCAGAAGGGTGGTGGTGCAGGAGATATGGCAGCAGAGGAGAACAGTGACAAACCAGACAACATAAGAACTGAACAGAGCAGGCTTTCACGAGCCGGGGCACAGAGCTTCCCACCCACTTTATTTGCGTTTTCAGAGGACTTTGCCGGACGCCGAACTGTAGCTTTGGGTAAGCCTTTTGGCCAAGCCCTTATGACCACTAGTGCGATTTACAAGTTGGTTAACTTCCCTCCAGATAAGGGAGGAGAGAAGGACTTTGCCTCCCACCAGCCGGACCAATGTCACGTGCTCCAGATCTCCTTCCGAACGGCCCGTGTCTCGGCCCGGCTGGGGTTGCTAGGCAACCGGTAAACTCCACAACTCCCAGCCGTTTGAACTGCGCTGGAGACCTGGACGTGGCTTGGGTGCTTCCTGGGCGCGCTGTGGCAGAATAAACTGCGCCTAGATCAGGTACTTGAGCTCGGGAGGACGTCCAAGCCTGAAAGGAAACCCGGCGAAAGGAGGGAAGCGTCCCAAAGGGTAATAATCACCAACAGCGCAAGAAACCTAGGAAATTGCTTCTAGGAGAATTGTCGGATGCTGGAATGAGAACCAGCGCTCCCTAGTGCTCTTCCCGCTGCATTAATCCGCGTTGCATAGAATATTCTCCAAGTTCCAGGACCTCTGCAACCCACAAGCACCTTGCCTTCCGCACCACTACCCCACCAGGCCCTAACCCCGACTGTGTCCCGGAGTGGGCGGGACTTCTTTCAGGCTTTCAGGTGAATGGAGCAAGCGTTCTGCCCCGGGAGGATGGGGCTGTTAAGAGAGCTTTCAATTAAGAGGAGGGAGAGGGAAAGGCACACGCCTGTGATCCCTGCACTCGGGAGGCAGATGCAGGAGGATTGCCAAGAGTCCGAGGTCGGCCTACACTACTCAGTAGCCTCCAGGCCAGCTGAACTAAGGGTGAGAACCTGTCTCAAAAAACAAAGAGAAGGGCCTGGAGGAAAGGCTCAGCAGTTAAGAGTGAGTACTGTTCTTGCAGAGGGTCGGAGTTCGGTTTTCAGCAGCCACATCAGGTAACTCACAGCCCCGCAGCTCCAGCTCCAGGGTATCTGACACTTCTGGCCTCCACCCCACTGCGCTTGTGTGCACATTCCCACACATATCGCGCGCGCGCGCTCACACACACACACACACACACACACGATTAAAAATAAAATCAGTTTAAGAAAAGTGAGGTTAGGGAGTAATGGTGGGAGGTCACACGAGTACGGTGAGGTGGGTACAGGGACTATATGTAAATGCATCCTTTTGTTTGCCCCTCAATCTGAGAGCTGACCTTATCATGCCCATTAGAGTCATGAAAACATTTTCCTAACCTAGTCCAGAAGGTTCTCAGAGACATGGGAATGGCGCAAAGAGCCCTCTCTCTGCATTCCTACCTCAAGCAAGGCTCCTCTGTTCCAAACACACAGATGGGCTGCCCCAGGGGACAAAGGCTGGCCCTCCTTCTGGCCTCTTTCTGGCACTGACACCCCTGCTTCCCACCATTCCCTCGGCTCCCCTCCCAGCTGTATACCACACTTTCTGTTAAGCCGCAAGACTTCTCTCTAGGAATGACTTTGCCGATCGTCCTCGCATGAGGCAAGTTTTATTTTGATACTGGGGCAAAGGATCCACCTTGACGCTCCCCAGGAGGATGCAGAAAATTCATGCATGTTTTGGTGTTTGGACCACGCTAAGGAGGTTCTTTGTGATTCTGGGTTTGGAGCTGGTGTAGGTCGGTGGTAGAGTAGACCATATTTCGTAGTAAGGGCGGGCTGGGGGAGACTATGATTCTTCATGCTTCTGGGTCTTTAGATTCCCATAGGGACAATCTCCCCCTGACACTCCTAGGCAACAATAATACTCTTGGTCCCCTCCGCTACACACACACACACACACACACACACACACCCTGCTCAGATCCCGGGGAAGCCCCAGCTTGCAGCATTTATCTCCCAAAAGAGGGGAAAGACTGTTGTGGCATCCTTGGCTGACCTTGTCATTTATCTTCGCTGTGCTAGCTTGTTAGGAAAGAGCCTGCCTAGCTTGTTAGGAAAGAGTCTGCGCCCGGGTCCTTGAATGTGCTGTTTCCCTGTCACCAGGCTAGCCTTTAAATGTCCCCTCTGTCTGCCTCCAGACACAAGACAAAGCCTCCGTTCTCCAAGAGGCCTTGGCCTTGGGAAGCACCAAGGACAGAGCAAAGCTGTTAGAATCTGATTGGGGCTGAAGAGGCTGTTTTGTTGTGGTTGTTGTTTTCTTCCCAGGATTTTCTCATTCTCTTAAGTGTCCTTGTGTCACCTTAGGAGTCAGCTGTGCCACAGCAATGGGAGATGGAGGGAGACAGCCCCTAATTGCCTGACTCCAGCTGCCAGGACTGGGAGGCACGGGTGCTTGGCAGGACTGGTGGAAGACAGGGAATTTAATTGACTTCTTTTGCATTCTTCTTTTAAAAAATTATTTATTCATTATGTATACAGTGTTCAGTCTGCATGTATGCCTGAAAGCCAGAAGAGGGCACCAGATCTCATTACAGATGGCTGTGAGCCACCATGTGGTTGCTGAGAATTGAACTCAGGACCTCTGGAACAGCAGGCAGTGCTCTTAACTGCTGAGCCATCTCTCCAGCCCCCTTTTTTGCATTCTTTTCCCCAAGACTTCACTTTCATCCACACAGAACAAAGACATGGGGCACCCTTATACAGACCGCTGTCTTGACCACCCCTCTGCCCTCTGAGACATTGTTCCCATCCTTAAGGGAGACTTTCCCATCCACTTTCTCCATGAGCATGGTTTGTGTTGGCTCTGGGAGTGGTTTGAAGCAAGCTTTTATAGTTTTGTTGTTTGGTTTCAAGGCAGGGTCTCCTGTAGCCTTTTGCCTCTACCTCCCAAGTACTGGGATTACAGGCATGTGTCACCATGCCTAGCGGGTCATGCTCCTTCAAGGAGCAATATATGGATGCCAAGAGACTGGGGAGATAACCCCACCCTATCTCCTCCCTCATCCCCTGCTCCAGCTGTTCCCTTCCACCCCGGCACCTGCTGCTAGATGGGCATGCCCAGCTCTCAGCCTCTCAGTGTCCAGGACTCAGCAGCCAGAGCCTTGGGTCCGTATAGTCGTGGGGTCTTATAGTTTCTGTTCTTCCATTTAAAACCACACAGCCCATTTCGAGTTCATTGTTGCGTATGGTATGAGGTTCGGCTCTTTCTGATCTTTTGCTTGGGGATGCCCAGTTGTCCCAGCACCGTCTGCTGAAAAGGTCATCCCTCCCTGCTGCATCCCCTGATACTTTATCAGTGATGAGCTGACTGGAAATATGAAGGGTTAGTCCAGAGATTTCGGTTCTGTCTCATTGGTCCTGTGTCTCTTTTCATCAGGACGTCACTGCCTTCATTACCTGTGATTGGATTGATTTATTGATTGATATTTAAAAAGTTTTTTTTTAAGTCTCACTGTGTAGCCATGTCTAACCTGACACTCATTCTATAGACCAGGCTGGCCTCAAACTTGCAGTAATCTTCCTGCCTCTGCTTCTTCAGTGTTGAGCGTATAGACACACCAGCATGGCTGGTGCATAACTGGTTTAATTGTCTCTCCTTTCCCCTTCCTCTCTCTTCTCCCTCCCCCACCTTCTCTGTGTCTTTGAGATAGGATCTTTTAATGGGGGGGGCAATTTTGAGACAGGGTTTCTCTATGTAGCCTTGGCTGTCCTAGAACTCAGTCTATAGACCAGACTGGTCTTGAACTCAGAGATCCACCTGCCTCTGTCTCCCAAGTGCTGGGAGTAAAGGCATGTGCCACCACCACCCAGCTTGATCTTTTAATTTTTAAAAACATCATTTTTAAAATGTTTATCTTATTTGTATGCATGTTTACCTGCATGTATGCCTGGTACCCACAGAGGCCAGACGTTGACATCAGATCCCCTGGAACTGGAGTTACAGATGGTTGAGAGCTGCCATGTGGGTGCTGGGACTCAAACCCTGGTCCTCTGAAAGAACAGCAAGCTCTCTTCACCATTAAGCCATCCCTCTAGGCTCTGAGAAAGTTTGATTTTTGTTTATGTGTATGTGTGTTGACCTGCTTGTCTGTCGTATGTCACGTGGGTGCAGAGCAATTAGTGCCGTTAGCCACCCAGCCACCCCTTCAGCACCAGACAGAGGACATAGCTCAAGTCGAAGTCCAGCGTCCACTGTACAATGACCCGGATGGCCAGCTTCCTGTACTCAGCCTCCTAATGCACAGGGTCTCTCTGTGCTGAGCGCAGGGCAGCCGATATTGTCTTTCTGTGTTCTCAGGGACTTTGATGAGGAGACCTTTCCTCACACGGGGATGCGTGTCCACAGCACCTTTGCAGCTGCAGGTCAGCCCTGGAAAGACTCGGTCACCCAGCCAAGGGCACACTGCTGGTGAAAATCGGTCAGGACTCCAGGGTCTTGCCTGCCTGCTTTACAATTATTTTTTCTTAATTTAGAGTGAGCGTGTGCATGTGTGTGTGCTTGTGCAAGGCACCATGTGTTGTGTGATGTTTTACTCTTTTGACTTTTTGAGGGGCCCACCTCCCAGCTCCCAAATGAATCACACATGGAGGCTTATTCTTAGGAATGGCCGGCCTTAGCTTGGCTTGTTTCCAGCCAGATTTTCTTAAATTATCCCGACTACCTTTTGCAAACTCCGGGCTTTTTCCGTTTCTTACTTCTGTATCTTACTTTCACTCTTACTCGTGGCTAGCTGAGTGCCTGGCCCCTGAAGCCCTCCTCCCCTTGTTCTCTCATGGCTCCCCCTCAGCCTCCGTTCTCCTATTTATACTCTCTGGCTGCCAGCCCCACCTATCCTTGCTCTGGGCTTGCTATTGGCCGTTCAGCTCTTTATTAGGACCATCTGGTGTAATCACAGCTTAACAGAGTTAAGCAAATGCAGCATAAACAAAAGCCACACACCTTAAAATAACATTCCCCAACAACCGTGCACATGCAGAGGTCGGAGAGCGACCTGTCAGAGATGGTCCTCTCCCGTCCACCATGGGCTCCAGGGACGGAACTCAGGTCAAGCAGCCTGTGCCACCTTTACCCGCTGAGCCATCTCCCTGGCCCAGTCCTTGATTCTCATGGTCAAGTAGCACAAATCAGTAACTTCCAGTTCCAGAAGCCCCCTGGCTTTTTGTCCCTTCTCCAAGTGGCTCACAGACCCGCACAGGTAGAGGGATGCAGGAGGCAGAGATTCCCCGTGTGGCCATCAGAGGCAGTGGAGAGTCAGGTAATCTGTCACTGTCACGTTGGCACGGATAAGCCTTTCGAGCAGTTGTGCCAGTGGCTGGGGGTTCTTCAGAGGTTCAGGTCTTTCTGATCTGTGTACCACGCTATTCAAATCCTGAGTGTGGTGGTGGGTTTGGCTCAACATTACAGTCATCTGTATTGCTTCCTGCCTCCCAGCAAGTGCATTGATCCCACAGAAAGTCTATCATTTTATGGGTAAGACCTCTGAAGCCTGGCAAACCACCTGGGCTACTTACTTGGCAGCTATGTGAAGCCAGGAAAGTCCTCTGGAGGTATGCCTGTTCAAGTGGATGGTGCTTTCAGTGCCCACCTCAGAGGGCAAGAGCAGGGACCACACAAGGTAATCTATACCTAGCATACTGTTGGCACTCAGGTGAGCTAAGCTACCTATTCTTGTTGTTTGAGGAGATTTTTTTTGTCTTGATTTGTTTTGTTTCTTTAAAGATTTTGTTTTTCTGGACATGGTGGCTCATGCTTTTAAATCTTGGTACTCGGGATGCAGAGGCGGGTGAATCTCCAAGTCTGAATGCAGCTTGGTCTACGTGGTTGGTTCCGGGCCAGCCAGTGAGACCCTGTCTCAAATAAGATGTATTTAGCTGTGTGTGTGTGTGTGTTTGTGTGTGTGTGTGAGGGGTGAGGATGGCACATACACACATGCTTCCAGAGGCCAGAAGGTGGCATCGGCTCTGCTGGAGTTAGAGTTGGAGAACCAAACTCCAGTACTCCACGGGGTCATCTCTCCAGGCTCATTTTAGACGGGCTGCTTTCGAATCATAGGCTGGCCTTGAACTCACAGCGGTCCTCCTGCTTCCGTCTTCCATGTGCCAACACAGCACAAGTGTGAACCAGCATACCTGGTTTCAGACGAGGGATTTTGGGTTTGGTTTTTTTGTTTGTTTTGCTTCTATGTTTTGTGTTTTGAGACAGGGTCGCGTGTAGCCCAGACTGGCTTTGAACTTGCTATGTAGCCTAGGATGACTTTAAACTCCTGATCCTCCTGACTCCACCTTCAAAGTGTCCCGTTGAATAGGATTATTTTTAAAAGATTGTGGGGGTGGGGATAGAGGGTGGTGCCTGAGTGTGTGCACTACCCATGGAGGCCAGAAGAGGGCGATGTTGGGTCCCTGGAAACGGAGTCACAGGAGCCCCACGGGTGCAGGAATGGACCCCAGGGTCCTCTGGAAGAGCAGGCAATGCTTTTAACCACTGAATCATCTCTTTAGTCCCTTATTTTTCTTTTTTTTGTTGTTGTTTTTGTTTTTGTTTTGCTTTTGAAAAAAATACAGATGTAGCTTCTGGAAAGATCCCCTGGGATTCCCTAACCTGGCTCCCTGCCAATCAGATGCAAAAAACGTGGCCCTGCCTCTGGTGGGACCTGAGGAGATGAGCAGGCTCTGGGTGGGACGCCTCACTAGTCTCAGACTCTCCTCTATCCTGCCGCAGCCACCGCAGCCATCACCATGGAGATCGTCTACGTCTACGTCAAGAAGCGCAGCGAGTTTGGGAAACAGTGCAACTTCTCAGACCGCCAGGCTGAGCTGAACATCGACATCCCGCCCAACCCTGAGCTGTCCTCGCTGTATGTGGAGCGGAACCCAGTGGACACGGGCATCCAATGCTCGGCCAGCATGTCAGAACACGAGGTGAGTTCCTGCCCTGGAGACCCGGGGAAGAGGGCTAGTGGGGAAACTACCTGGAAAGAGAGAGCAGGTGATGGAGGTGTCTGGGCATGGGAACCCCAAGACCCACCTCTGTGCTAGGATCAGTAGATAACACCACCTCTACTTGGGCCAGAGCAGGTGTGTCCACAGAATGCACACGGCAAGCCCACACTCTGAATGCGTGCAGTCTCTGTGATGTTGAGGAATGGAGGATTTTTTTTTTCTTTTTCTTTTGAGACAGGGTTTCTTGTGTAGTCTTGACTGTCCTGGAAATAACTCTGTAGATCAGGCTGGCCTTGAACTCACAAGAGATCCACCTGCCTCTGCCTCCTAAATGCTGGAATTAAAGGCGTGCACCGTCATTACCCGGTGAAGGGTGGAGGATTAATCACTGTTAATAAGACATCTCCTGGGACGGGTGGATGGATCCCTGGGCCTATTCACCTCCAGATATGGCTGAGAACAGGTGTGAATGTGGCCCAACACAAACTGGCAAACCTACTTAAAGCATTATGAGAATATTTTGTATGTGTCATTTTTTTTTCATGTCTGTGGCAGAGGGGCTGTGCACCCCAGCTTGGTCTTGAACTTGCCAAGACAAGAATGACCTTGAGCTTCTATCTTCCTGCCTCTATCTCCCAATTTTGTTTTTTTTTTTGTTTTGTTTTTTTTAAAGATTATATCTATTTCCTCTGTCCAGGGAGTAGGGGGAGGGAGAGAGGAAGGGAGGAAAGACAGAGAGTTGACCGTGTGGTTACTGAATATGAACTTTGTAGATGACAGTGTTGGCAGGGGTCCTATTACAATATCAAAAAGATTGGATATGTCTAGAACTGAAATGTTCCTCCTGAGGCTTCTGGGACCTCTAAGATGTCTCTGGACTTTTTCTAGGCATTTAGCCCTTCCCAGAGGGTCTTGAGACAAAGGAAGTGCTACATAGAAAATTCCTCCTGGAATGGGTCAGGGCCCCAGGAACACTGTGTGCCTGTGAAGTAGGGAATCAAGCCCCAATCCTGTCGGTCACGGTGAGAATCATGTGGGAAGAGCTAGCCCATCTCATCCAAGGGTCAACCAGTGAAAGTATCACCTGACTTGGCCAAACACCTTCACAGTCTTGTGGGCGCGAGCGATTTTGATGACTCACGCGAAGGAGCTTCTCGCTTTCCCAGCCTAATTGCTGCTTCCAGACCCAGAATGGTGGTGCTCATGGTATAACGGTGGCCCAGGGCTTTCCAGTTGTAGTGTCTCACCCTAGCAGAACCGGCTTAAAGCAGAGAGGAGATGGAGCAACCAGTTAACGGGCATGGGGCTTCCTTCCCTGCAAGATAATGAAAAGTTGTGTAGCCCCAGAGAGGTGATGGCTAACTGTGTGGAGATGAACCTCAGTAGAGTTGCTGAGCACTCCAGAGAGCCCTGGGTTCCGTCCCAAATGTGATCCAGGCGTGGTGGTGCACATTTTTAATCTCAGCACTCAGAAGGCAGAGGCAGGTGATTCTGAATTCAAGGTCAACTTGATTGACACATCTCGAGTACCAGGCCAGCTATGGCCACATAGTGAGAACCTGTCTCAAAAGAGACAAATAAAATCAAGTCTGGCAGTATATGCTTATAATCCCAGCCCTCTGGAAACAGAGGCAGGAGGATCAGAAGTTCAAAGTCATCCTTAAGCTACACAGTTTGAGGTCCACCTGGGGTACATGAGACCCCGCCTCAAATATAAAATGAATGGATAAATGGATCTGAGGGTTGTGAAGGGTGTGAGGAGTGGGGGGAGTCAAGAAGGCAACTTTGGCTGAGGAAACTGTCCTGCCTGCTACCCAGAATGCACTCGGCAAGCCTGCGCTCTGACTTGCAGTTGATTTGCAGTCTCTGTGATGCTAAAGGATGGAGGATTAATCATTGCTAATACGATAGCTCCCAGGACCCAGGATGGTTGGCTGGACTCCTGGGCCTGTTCCAGATAAAGTTAGATGCAGTGGTGGCACACGCTCTTAATCCCAGCACTCAGGAGGCAGAGACAGGTGGATCTCTGTGAGTTCGAGGCCAGCCTGGTCTACAGAGCAAGTTCCAGGACCAGTTTCAAAGCTACAGAGAAGCCCTGTCTCGAAAAAAAACAACAACAAATAAAAGATAAAGACAGAACTGGGTTTTCTGTGACCACCATTGCCCCCTGCAAAGCTGTCAGCATAGTGCTGCTGAACCACATAGGGCCAGCCTCACTTTGTTTGTTTGTTTGTTTGTTTCAAGACAGGGTTTTTCTGTAGCTTTGGAGCCTATCCTGGAACTAGCTCTTATAGACCAGGCTGGCCTCCAACTCACAGAGATCTGCCTGCCTCTGCCTCCCTAGTGCTGGGATTAAAGCCATTCACCGCACCCCTTCCTCAGCACTGCCTTAAGAGCTCAGGGTGCCATTATCCCGGGATCTGGGTTTGCGGAAATGACTGACTACTTAGACCTGTGACCTCTTCTCATCTCTGGTTCTCTGTTTAGGCCAACACGGAGAGGTTTGAAATGGAGAGCTGTGGGGTTAATCACATCGAGGGGGGCTGGCCCAAGGATGTGAACCCCCAGGAGCTGGAACAGACCATCCGCTTCCGGAAGAAAGTGGAGAAAGACGAGAACTACATCAATGCCGTCATGCAGCTGGGCTCGGTCAGGCTCCCCCCAGCTCCAGCTGTCTGACACCAGCTCCCCTTCCTCGGACTGTGCCCAGGCTGTGCATAGCCCCCCGTAGACTCCCATAGCTCCCAGCCAGGGAATGGGGAACCTCACTGCTGGCCATAAAAGTTTTAGAGAGTCTAAAATGCTGGAAGAGGGCTGGCAAGATGGTTCAGTGGGTAAAGGCCCTTGTCACCAAGGCTGACCACTTGAGTCCGAGCCCTAGAATTCATGTGATAGCTAGAGAGAACTCACCCCTGTAAGGTATCCTCTGACCCCCACACATGTGCAATGGTGAGACTATCTTCCCCAAACACAGGCACACACAATAATAATTAAATAAAATGCAAGGAGCCCCTTGGGTAAAGGGTACCCCAAAAGAGCCTATCAATCAGTCAGTAATGCTCATTTATGCACCGAACTAATTTTAAGTCTCAGTCAGACACGGCAGAGGCTGCAAGTTAAATCTCACATGCCTCCTGCCCCCAAAGAGTTTGTAATTCGCTCCAGGAGTCCAAGACAGACAGACACACAGACTTTACCAGATACTATCAAAAGGAACCCTGTCAGAGACAGGGATTGCCAATTTGCTGCATAAGGAGGAGATTTCCTGATGAAGGAATCAAAGAAGTTCCCAGGAAGGGTGTTGGGCTAGACCTTGCTGAACATCAGAAATGACAGGGAAGGCCTCTGGGTGGTTTGTCCTTGACATAAGTGCTATATGGGCCATGCTCGCATGCCTGTGTCCCCAAGAACCAACTGTCACTCTTGGGAAGTGATGCCTCTCCCATGAAACAAGGGCAGGGACCACTGCACACTTGTCCATCTCCGGCTGCAGGACAGCCCTGCTGGGCTGGGACAGAGCTCTCCTCACAGCTAAGAACTCTGGGTTCTCCACAGATTATGGAGCATTGTATCAAGCAGAACAACGCCATTGACATCTACGAGGAGTATTTTGATGATGAGGAGGGTGTGGAGGTGACTGAAGAGGCCCCTTCAGCCAAGACCATCAATGTCTTCAGGTAGCTCCGGAGGGTGGGGTGCCGGGTCCCCTCAAACTGGATTGACAGGTGGCCTGCCCGATGAGGATGCTGGGAACCAAACTCAGGCTCTCTACAGGGATCTGATACCCTCTCTGGCCCACACAGGCTCCAGGCAGGCGTGTGAGGCACATCTATACATGCAGGCAAAACGCTGGTACACATGAAATAAACAAGTCTTTTGAAAAGTAATTGACTTTAGCTTTTCACATGGTTTTAGGTCCTCAGCAAAGCTGAACAGAAGGGCAGAGAGCTCTCACGTCACTCCCACACGAATTGCACAGCAAACCCGGAATTTCTCTCAAGCCAGTGTAATGCTTCACTCCTGTAGTCCTAGCACTCAATAGGCTGAGACAGGAGGATTGAGAGTTCTAGGCCAGTCACAGGAATATCAGGAATTCAAGGTCATCCTCAGACTCTGATACTTAGTACATCCTGGGATGCATAAGATCTGTCTTTTAAAAAAAAAAAATCAAGAGCCAGCTAACCGATGGACCAAATCTCTGCTATGCAGAAGCCGTGGTTTCCATTAGGGGGCACTCTTGGGCCTCACAGTCTGGATTTGGACCGAGCTCCAATGCAGAGCAGATTTTCACCACCCTAACAAGTCCTTACTGCTTTCCCTATTCATCCTCCTGCCCCCCAGCTCCTGGTACCCACTGATCTCTCCGTCACCGCCAGTGTCCACACTCCGCACAATGCCGTACACTCTGTGGCCCAGCTAGTCTGCCTTCTTCCTCTCACCAGCGGTCTTGTTTCTTTGAATCTTTTCTTCCCCCCTCGCTTCTCCTTCCCTCCTTCCCCCCTTTTCCCCTTTTCTTTATTTCTATGACAGGGTGTCCTGTAGCTCAGGCTGGTCTAGACTCACTATGCAGACAACACTATTCCTGAATTCCTGATCCCTCTGTCTATCTCCGAAGTGCTGGGATTATAGCCCATGTTTTATGTGGGGATCAAAACAGCTTCATGCATGTAGGCAAAGGCTATCAAGTCCCTAGATCCCCCTTTTGTTTGGTTAGGACCGGGGTCAGGGTTATTGGCGTGTGCTGTCATGCCTAGCTGGACAGGAGTTTTGAACTCATTTGGGCGAAGACCAAGTAGTGAAGTGACTGGATTCCTCTTTTATGCTGATAATCATGGAATCGGGCTCCCAGTCAAAACTTTCATCAGGTAAAAGTGTTAAACTAGGCCAGCATGGCAGCACATGCCTTTAACCCCAGCATTTGGGAGGCAGAGGCAGGAGGATCTTTGATTTGATTTACACAGTGACTCTTAGGCCAGCCAGGGCTAGCCAGTGAGACCCTGTCTTTAAAAAGAAAAAAGAAAAGAAACGTGTTAGACTCCAGCTCGTCGTGGTGACACATGGAAGTGTTGTAAGGGGCTGCGGGCAGGCCTGCTTTTTGCCTCACCCGGCTCCCGCACGGCTAGCTTAGCCCCAGAAATAATAACACACAAATTGTATTCATTTAAGCACTGCCTGGCCCATTATCTCTAGAGAGTTAGTTACTGACTAACTCTCATATCTTGATATTAACCCATTTCTAATAATCTGTAGCACCACGAGGTGGTGGCTTACCGGAAAAGATTCAGCATGTCTGACCTGGTGGCTGGCTCCATGGCGTCTGCCTCATAGTCCTCTTCCCAGCATTCTATTCTGTTTACACCGCCTACCTAATTTTCTGTCCTATCAAGGGGCCAAGGCAGTCTCTTTATTGACCAATGAAAATAACACAATAGACAGATAACCCTCCTCCATCAATAGAAGAATCAGATCAGTCAGGGCTATACAGGTGCTGGCTTGCTGAGGCCACAGCCTGTGTTGGTGTGCCCTAGCATGCATGTACAAAGCCCTGGGTTCGATCCCCGGTACCTTACAACCTGGGTGCATTGGTGCATGCCTGTACTCTCAGAACTTGGGAGGACCAGAAATTCAAGGTTATCCTCGGTTCAAGGCTAGCCTGGAATACATGAGATCTTGCCTTGAAAATAGATATATTATTAGCCTGAATCTCACTCATTTGCATCCCTGGCTGTTTCCTCTAGGTGGAGCCATTGGGACTGGCTTTCCATTTAAGGGAGTCTTGTCAACTTTGGGGTTTCTTTGGGTTTCATCTTCGTCTAATCTATCTGTCTGTCTGTCTATCTATCTGAGACAGGTCTATCTACTCTGTAGCCTAAACTGGCCTCTAGAGTTGTGGATTGCAGGCAGGAGCCACCCACCGTCCAGCTTTAACCTCGGAACATCATTTCCAAAGAGCATGTGTTTGCTTAGATCTACTTGGATTATTTTGAAAAGGAATGTGATAGACATAGATTTTGGGTGGAGGGGACCCTACCCTCCAATCCTCTGCCTTCCCTGCTCTCCCTCCAGGGACCCTCAGGAGATCAAGCGGACAGCCACACACCTCTCCTGGCACCCTGATGGCAACAAGAAGCTGGCGGTGGCTTATTCCTGCTTGAACTTCCAGCGAGCCCCTGTGGGCATGAGCCACGAATCCTATATCTGGGACCTGGGTAAGGAAGAGGTGGTTCTACTGGCCAGGGAGGACTGAGGGGCCAGGCCAGAGGCCAGCAAGACTCGAGGAGCTGAGAATAGAAACAAGGGGTGCTGTCTGATGTTTTATTCTTTTGTTTTTTTGTGGGGCCCACAGCCCAGCTCCCAAATAAATCACACCCATTTATTCTTAGCTATGAATGCCAGACTGGCCTTAGCTTGGCTTGTTTCTTGCCAGCTTTGCTTAAATGATCCTAACTTCCTTAGCTGGCTGTGTAGCTGGGTGGCCCCCAGTGTCCTCCTCTCCTTGTTCTTTTGCTCCTTCCTCTTCCTTCTCTTTCTATTTATCCTCTCTGCCTGCCAGCCCTCAGGTCCTTGCTCCTGCCTCGCTATTGGCTGTTCAGCTCTTTATTTAGGCTCGTCAGGTGTTTGAGACAGGCAAAGCAGCGCAGCTTCACAGAGTTAAACACACGCAGCATAAATAAAAGCAGCACACCCTAAAATGATATTCCCCAACAAGGGATCGAAGGCACACTGTCAGGGGCACCAGGGGCAGGGGAGGGCTCTTGTCTCTTCCCTGTGTGGGAGCAGACAGGCACATCTCCACAGATCCAAACCACAGCCAGAAAGTTCCCATCCACTCTACATTTGCCTTCCGCCCCGAGCATGGATTGCACAGCCTTGTGAGTGTTAGGGTTGCTAACTCCAGATTGTTAATCTGCGGCATTAAGACCTTTAGGCAGCTCATCGAATTCTGACAGCTGCCCTCACCCAGCTGGCTCCAGTTTCAACCCTGGTCCTCTGACCTGGGTGGAAGAAATTGACAGAGTAGATTTTTAAAAAAGAGTAGATATTGTTTGTGGGGAGGATGTACGTGTCGTGTTGCACACGTGGAGGTCAGACAACAATTTTGTGCGGTCATTTCTCTTCCTCCTCCTCTATCTGGTCTCCGAGGACTGAACTCCGGTCACCTCAGGCTTGGGCAACAAGTGCCTTTCTTTACCTACTGAGCCATCTCACCGGCTCCAAGAGTAGACTTTATATAAAACATCAATGCCATTAATTCATGGACCCAGGGACTTGGAGCTGGCTGAAGTAGCAAAGGCACGAAGAAAAGACAAACACAGACAGACACACTGGAAGGCTGAGGCGGGCGGTCTGGACTCTCGGCTGCAGAAGTCGCAGTACTGAGGAAGCTCGGTCTTTGTGGCATAGAGTTGAACAGAAGCACGGGGTTATCGCACACAGCTGAACAAGGGTACGGGTTAGCATGCACAGATAAGCAAAGTGGTAGGGTCATTGTACACAGCCAAACCAAGGAGGCAGGGTTAGGGAATCTCGGTAGGAGCCATCTCTGTAGGCGAGCTGTCCTCAGTTTGTAAGTGTCTAGTGAGGAGAAAGTTATGGTAGCTATGTTCTGCACGCTCTGTCCACGTCCATTCTAAGTCAGCCGAGGGAAGGGTACCGTTTCCCTCTGAGCCTCCCCGCCTCCGCCACGTGGGATGAGGGTTGAGTCATCCTCCCTGGGGTTCTTGGCATGACTGTGCCTGTGTCAACAGCACACACACACACACACACACACACATACACGCACACACACTCAGGATTTCACTCACTCAGACTTCCTCCACTCCTTCAGCCTTAGGATAAAAATTTTATTTCATACCAAACCTGGGAAATGGATTAGAGCTGGGATTTAATATACGAACACACATCCCAATCCTGATTCTCTCCCCCTAAATAAAGGCACTAGCCAAGATTCAGGCAAAAGAGCCCATCGGCCGAACTGGTCGGCCCTGCCCTTTCTCTGTGTTGGCCTAATGGATTTTTTTCCTCCCTCTTTATTTTAGAAAACCCCAACAGACCAGAAATTGCCCTGAAACCATCTTCTCCTCTTGTCACCCTGGAGTACAACCCCAAGGATTCCCACGTGCTCCTAGGGGGTTGCTACAATGGGCAGATAGGTAAGGAGACTCCCCTGCCCCCACCAGCAGCCAGGCAGGATGCCGCTAACCCACAGGGCCACCAGGGCTCAGTCTGGACTTAGCAGGCGGACCATTTGGGAGGCTAACACTGCAGTCCCCTGGGAGTCAAGGTTTGCTGACACTTTGGGCTAGCCACCAGTCATACTCATTCAGGTAAGTCTAACACTAACTAGCCGGCAGTAAGAAGGTTTGAGAAATTATAATTCAGGCCAGGGAGATTGTTGCCTTTAACAAAATCTCAGTTATTTGATTTTACCAATAAAGACTTTGGAGCCAAATGCTGGGGTGAACGCCTGCTAATTCAGAGAGGAAAAAGCATCGGGCTACCCCTCCTTCTCAGTGGAAGCCTCCTGCCTTCTCCAACCAGACTTCTCAGACTGTCCCCCTTTTACTTCCTGTGCGCCTCTCTATCCATTCTCTTGACTCCCTCTTACTCTCTATGGTTTTTTCCTTAATAATCCTCTGTTTGCTCCCTGTCAACCGGTTGCTTGCTTTGCCTCTTGACCTACGGTTGACTTTATTTAATCCTGTTTACAATATTCAAGCAGAAAGCTCTTGGATTAAAGATGTATACTAGGGTTGAGCCACACCACAAACAGGTTTTTCCAGTAAATAATGGAATCTCAGGGCTCCCAGTGTGATCAAATATCCGGCAACCATTGGCTCCATTGGTAAGGGTGCCTGCCACTGAGCCTGATGACCTAAGCTGACCTGTGTGACCCCCCCCATGGTGGACAGAGAACAGCTGTCCTTTGACCTTCACATGTATGCCACAACACATATGCGGCCACGCACGTCTACATGCATAACAAATAAGTACAGCGTAGGGGCTTTGCTTGCTTGGTTGGTTTTTGGTTTTTCAAGACAAGGTTTTTCTGTGTAGCACTGGTTGTCCTGGGACTTGCGTTGTAGACCAGGCTGGCCTGGAACTCAGAGATTCACCTGCCTCTGCCTCCCAAGTGCTGGGATCAAAGGCGTGCGCCACCACTAGCCCAGCAAATCTAGTTTTTGTTGTTGTTGTTTTAAAGCTCAGATAAACTCAAGGACCAGGGTCGGTCATGAGAGGGCCGTTGTGGAGTCAGTCCCGTCTAGGAAGAGCGGTCTGGAAAATTATGTGGAATGAGCCTGGGTGACGCTGGGTTTGCACATGCCATCGGGAAGCATCGCCTCCTGTATTAGCTACAGCTGTGACACAGCATCCCGGGGAGAGACAAACAAGGGAAGAGAAGAGAAGGAAGGTCCCTGAGGGAGCAGTCCATCATGGGGGGGGGGGAGCATGGCAGCTGGTCCCTGGTGGGGGAGGAGCTTGCAAAAGGGGCTTCACATGGTGGGCTCACCAGGAAGCAGAGGGCTTGGACATTAAATAAGACTGTCCCCCGCTACAACACACTTCCTCCAGCTAGGTCCCACATAAACACCTGGGGATGTATATTTATTTACGATTCCTTTTCCTAAAGTCCCAATGATAAACCGAGGCACAATCTGGGACATTTATCGGGCTTCCTTAAGGAGCACAGGATTTCCCAGGGGTTTGGGTGCTCTATGCTCTTTCTCCCAACAAGCCACACCTGGAAAGCTGTTACCCAGCAGGGTGAGAACTTCCCCCATAGCTTCATAAAGAAAGCCATATGTTTCCCTGCCATATTATCTGTTGTCTGAGCCCTAAGCACCACAGCCAAGCTGCTGTCGTGACTTATTCAGCAGCCCTGCTCGCTCATTATTCATGACCCCATTCAGTGGCCTTTCATACTGGCTCGGATCAGCTCAGCCCAGGGGTCCGGCTACCATAGCAAGGAGACTCCAGCTGTGTCACCGGGATCACAGAGCGCATCCTGGAGCACTGTTTTGTAGAGCAAGTTCCTCTTGGAACATTTCTGGGCCAGGCCAGGCCAGGGTCAAAAGCCTTAGACCTGGGGGCTCCTAGGACAAAACTGACGGGCAAGTAAGTATGGTTCTTGGTTTACAAAATCATCTTTCCAAGAAATGGCTCTTGAGTAAGTATGTGGGCCCTTGATGGCTCTCAGGAGGAAGGGAAAGCCAGACACTTCAGGGCAGGAAGCAGCAGGCTATATCCCTTTGTTGGCACAGCACAAAGGTGGTGTGTGGGTGGGGTTTCACAGTAGAAACCTGAGCGTGCCTGTGAGTTTTCTTTCTTTTTAATTTTATGTGCATTGGTGTTTTGCCTGTGTGTATGTCTTTGTGAGGGTGTTGGATCTTCCGGAACTGGAGTTCAGACAGTTGTTACCTCTGCGGGTGCTGGGAATTGAACCCAGGTCTTCTGGAAAAATAGCCAGTGCTCTTAATCTCTGAGCCATCTCTCCAGCCCTGTTTCTTTTTAAAAACTTCTTTTGGGATTTTTGTTTGTTTGTTTTTTGGTGTGTGTGTGTGTTGGGGGTAATGTCAGAGCAGACCAGATGAGGGCATCAGATCCCCTGGAGCTGGATACAGGCATTGTGAGTTGTCCATTGTGGGTTCTAGGCACCAAGATCCATCTCTGCTAGAGCAACAAATGCTCCTAACCACTGGGTCACCTTCCAGCCCTGTCGTTTTTATCATTTAAATGTTGTTCATGTGTGTGTGTGTCTGTGTGGGTATGCATACCTGCATGCAGGCACCTCAGGAGGTCAGAGGCATCAGATCCTCTGCATCTGGAGTTACAGGGAGCCATGAGCCATCTGATGTGGAAGCTGGGATCAGAACTCTGGTTCTCTGTAAGAACAGCAAACATTCTGAACCAATGAGCCATCTCTCCAGACCTCTTTTTTAACTTTTAATTTACATTTTAAAAATGTGTTATGTTGGAGGGTGTGGTCCTTTGGATATCATTGGCCCCCATAATCTCTGGGAGTGGTACCATTAGGAGGTGTGGCCTTGTTGGAGTGGGTGTGGCTTTGCTGGGGGAAGCGTATCACTGTGGGGCGGGTTTCTTATGCTCAGGATACTGCCCAGTGTTCAGTTGTCTTCCTGTTGCCTACAAGATGCAGCAGTCTCAGCTCCAGCACCATGTCTGCCTGCGGGCTGCCATGCTCCCCATCATGATGATAAGGGACTAAACCTCTGAAACTGTAAACAGACCACCCCAATTCATTGTTTTCTTTTTTTCTTTTTTTTTTAAAGATGTATTTATTTATTTTGTATACAACATTCTGCCTCCATGTATGCCTGCAGGCTGCAAGAGGGCACTAGATCTCTTTACAGATGGCCGTGAGCCACCATGTGGTTGCTGGGAATTGAACTCAGAACCTCTGGAAGAGCAGCCAGTGCTCTTAACCTCTGAGCTATCTCTCCAGCCCCATTGTTTTCTTTATAAGAGTTGCCATGGTCATAGTCTCTTCACAGTAATAGAAACCCAACTAAGAGGGATTCATGTATATCACGCATGCCTGTAGAGATCAGAGGACTTCTGGACAGAGGTGGTTCTTTACTCCCATGCGGATCTCAGGGGTCAAACTCAGGCTATCAGGCTGTAATGGGCTCCTCTCCCTGAGGAGCTGTCCCACCAGCCCTTTGTTTATTATCATTCATTATTAATTCTTTCTAGATTTATTTATGTTGTGGACCATGTGTTTGCCTAGTTAAAAGGTAATGAATCCCCTGGAACTGGATTCACAGATGGTTGTGAGCTCCCAGGTGGGTTCGGGGAATCAAGCCCAGGTCTTCAGGCTTTGTGATAAGACCCTTTGCCCACAGAGCCATCTCTCCAGTCGCCCCTCCGTGAGCTTCTTGCAGCACGGTGTCCATGCAACAGGGCGCTCTGCCCATTTTCCCACCTCAGGGCCTCTGCTTGTGTCTCCCCTGCCTTGGATCCTTTCTTCACCTCTCGCTTGATGAGCCCTACCCTCCACCTTAGCTTTCCGCCACCTTCCCCTGCTGATCTTCCCTGACCAGTCCAGCTTCTCTACCTCCCATCCCCGCACCTGCCTCTCCCAGTACCAAACCTGGTCCACTCCCAGGAGCTTCACCAGGGCGTAGAAGGGTCTCAGAACATGGCTGGGACGCAATGGAATGAATGAAGCCTGAACTCCAGGAGTCTATGCACAGATTGTGTGGGACTGGTAGAGAGTGTAGGCTGGTTTGAATGTTTGAATGTAGCCCTGATTCTCAAATTTCAAACTCAGAGAAACAACATTCCTCCAGTTCAGTTCCTTACTGGGGAAGGAATCCCATCACACACACACACACACACACACACACACACACACACACACACAAAACCAACCCCCAAACACAGCTCTCGCCTCAAAGGGAAATGAGAGACAGTTCTAGAGTTAAATATGAATGAATGACCATGGTCTGGAAGCATGGATGGGTTACACCAGATACTAAGTAACAACGTGACAATGGTTTCCCGAAGTTCTTAGAGCTCAACTGAAAACCACTAACCACTGCTTTTTTCAGAGGCAGTGGCAGAGTCACGGGTGACGGCCCAAGTCTGTAAACCCAGCACTCCCGAGGTACAGACAGGAGACTCAGTAGTTCAAAGCCATCCTTAGCTATAGAGTGAGGCCAGCCTGTGTCAAGGAACCAAAACCAAAGCGAATGAATACTGACCTCCCACAGCCAAATATCAGTGAAAATAACAGGCAGGCAGATTATAACAGTCCAGGAAGCCTGTTACAGGCCTCACACGCTATCCCATGACATTCTTCTTTTGACTAATTTTGTTTATTTTGAGACAAAATCTCACTATGTAGCCCTGGCTGTTCCAGAACTCACTATGTAGACCATGCCGGCTCCAAACTCAAGAGTTTCAACTCTCCTCGGTCACAGAAAAGCTGTGCTGCAGGCTTGGTCGGTTTGCTTTTCTGGGAACTTGAGTTCACAGCTTCCTCTTCTCCCCCGTCAGCCTGCTGGGACACCCGGAAGGGCAGCCTGGTGGCAGAGCTGTCCACCATCGAGTTCAGCCACCGAGACCCAGTGTATGGCACCATCTGGCTGCAGTCAAAGACAGGCACCGAATGCTTCTCAGCATCCACGGATGGGCAGGTACCACCTGGCTGGACCCTGGAGAGCAGAGGAGGGCCCACGAGAAGCATCCAGAGAGCATTGCCTTGCATTCTGTTTTCCATCGTTGCTTTATTGTGCAATGCAGGGGCTGGAATCCAGGGCCTTGTGCATGGGAGGTGTTCTACACCTGAACTACACCTCCTGCCCTCTCCTTTTAAGAAAGAAGGGGGGGAGAAAGGAAGGAGAGAAAGAAAAGGAAGAAAGGAAGAAAGAAAGAAAGAAAGAAAGAAGGAAGGAAGGGAGAAAGGGAGGGAGGGAGACAAGAAAGAAAGAGAAAGACAGAAAGACGGACAGAAAGAAAAAAAAGAAAGAAAAGGAAAGGAAGGAAGGAAGGAAGAAAGAAAGAAAAAGAAAGAAAAAGAAAGAAAGAAAGAAAGAAAGAAAGAAAGAAAGAAAGAAAGAAAGAGAGAAAACTTGTTTGGGGCAATAGTGTGTGTCATGGTGCCTATGTGGGTACCAGATATTAAACTCAGGTCTTCAGGCTTGGAGCAAGCACCTTTACCTGCTGTGCTATCTCATGGCCCTAAGTTCTCTCTCTTTAACACTAAATAGTAAACAATTCCAAAGAGACAAGGGCAGTCTCTGAGATGCCTCCTCTAACCAGAGCCTCCCAGCCCCTCCCTGTGTCATTTTTCTGTGTCTTCCCTGAGAGATGCTCTCTGTATAGTCAAGCAAACATCTCTCTCTGTTCTTCCTCCCCATCTTTTTCTTCCTTTCTCTCTGTTTGTTTTTGTTTTGAGACAGGGTTTCTCTGTGTAGCCCTGGCTGTCCTGAAACTCACTCTGTAGACCAGGCTCAATCTCTCGAACTCAAGAGATCCACCTGCCTCTGCCTCCCGAGTGCTGGGATTAAAGGTGTGCACCACCACCAGTGCCCGACCTGCCTCCCCCATCTTGCACACTTTACACCTGTCTGCACCCTGCTGTGTTCCCTGAGCCTACTCAGCAGCCACTTCAAATTTAATGAAGCGTGATTCTGTGCCTGGTGACAGCTTAGTGTAGGTTTATTATGATCTGTTTAAGATTTTACATCTTGTTAGTGTCAGAAAAGGAGTGTGTGTTTGCACCCATATCTTTGTACACGTACACAGGCAAACCTATAGTGTATATTGCTGGCAGTGAGAATGCTAGCCTGTTTTAGTTGTTGGTGATGTTTTTTGTTTTGTTTTGTTAGGGTTAGGGTTTTGTTTTGTTTTGTTTTTAAAATGTATATAATGTTCTGCCTGCATGTATGCCTGCAGGCCAGAAGAGGGCACCAGATCTCATTGCAGATGATTGTGAGCTACCATGTGTTTGCTGGGAATTGAACTCAGGCCCTCTGGGAGAGCAGCCAGTGCTCTTAACCTCTGAGCCATCTCTCTAGCCCTGCTTTGGTTGTTTTTGTTTTGAGATTGGGTCTCATGTAACCCAGGTTGGCCACAAACTGCTGAGCTTACTACCTCCACCTCCTGGATGTTGGGATTACAGGCACATATCACCATGCCTGGGTCCCATTTTCATCTTGGTAGATATTGCTATATGGGGGAGGGGGGCGGGAATGGGTCTTGTACCGGCATCTGAATTGTATAGAGTTTGCTTTTGTGTGTCTTAATAAATATGTCTGTCCTCGTTGGCCCCACATCCTTTGAGGCCCTGGATGGTTTGGGAGGCACAAGTCAAGGTCCTCAAGGTCTCGGTCGCCTTCCCACGTCAGGTCATGTGGTGGGACATCCGCAAGATCAGCGAGCCCACCGAGGTGGTCATCATGGACATCTCCAGAAAGGAACAGCTGGAGAACGCCCTGGGAGCCATCTCCTTGGAGTTCGAATCTACTTTGGTGGGTGTTTCTTGCTCTCTCTTCGTCATCCTCACTTGTGGGACTGTGGGCTGACCGGGCTGGTGTAGGAGATGTAGGGAGGAGGCCCCTTCCGGAGTCAGCCTTACTCCATGCGGAGACTTTACCGAGATGATCCAGCAGGGGGCAGCAGAGCACCTCCACGAAGGCCGCCACTCTCACTGGCTTGAGGCTGGCCTTTCTGAGCAGAAGCAAGCTTTAAAACCAGAAAAGCAAGAGTTTCAGGGGAAAGTCGCTAGCCAGAACCAGTATACACACTGCTTCGACATCATTTGAGGCCCTAGGCTTCCCTTCTTCAGGGGAAGAAAGAAGTGTTGGGGAAGGAAGGAGTAGCAGAAGAGTCCGGGAAACCAGAGCACAGACACGGTTAGGGCAATTCAAGAGATGGTATGGAAACCCCAGAAGCCAGGAATATTCTGTCTGTATGTATGCCTGCAGGCCAGAAGAGGGCACCAGACCTCATTACAGATGGTTGTGAACCACCATGTGGTTGCTGGGAATTGAACTCAGGACCTTTGGAAGAGCAGGCAATGCTCTTAACCTCTGAGCCATCTCTCCAGCAGAGGGCCAGTTTTTTAAAAAAGGCAAAACAACAACAAAACAGAAACAAGAGGGTTCAGTGGGTAAAGGCATTTAATGCACAAACCTGATGGCCCAAGTTCAATTCCTGGATCCCGCTGCAGAAGGAAACCAACTCCCAGATGTTGCCCTCTGACCTCTATGTATACATAGGATGCCATGGTATGCATGTACACACATGCCCCCTCACATACATCTTGTGATGATGATAATACAAATTTAAAAACTAGCCAGGTGCTGGAGAGATGGCTCAGCAGTTAAGATTACTGACTGATCTTCCAGAGGACCCGGGTTCAATTCCCAGCATGCACATGGCAGCTCACAGCTGTCTGTAAATCCAGTTCCTGGGCAAACTGACACCTTCACACCATTACCATAAAATAAAGTCAAATAAATCATAAAAAAATAAAAAGTATAAAAACTCACTAGGCGGTGGTGATGCACACCTTTCATCTCAGCACTGAGGAGGCAGAGGTAGGTGGATCTCTGTGAGTTCGAGCCAGCCTGATCTACAGAGCAAGTTCCAGAACAGTCAAGGCTATACAGAGAAAAAATAATACTAAATAATAATACTAAAAAATAAAATAAAATAAGTCAAAGTTGAAGCCAGAAGCAGAAGAATCATTGAAAATTTGAGACCAGCTGGGTCTAAATAGTTCTAGGCCAGCCAGAAGTACATAATAAGACCATGTCTCAAACATAAAAACCCAAAACCAATAAAATAAAGCACAAAGCTTGAAGTTTAACAGAGCAGTCATGAGAATGAACACTCAATAAATAAGGCGAGAAAACCACGTTTCCAGGTGGTTGCTGGCTTGGACTGGTCCCTCCTCTACATTTTGCCGAGGTTCAAGTTTGTCCCCCCATCCGTGCCTTGGGGGTGTCACTGTTTGCTTAGGGTCCTGTCACATCAGTCCTAGGACCGTGGGTGGCTCTGACCTCACACCTGCCCTGGGGATCCTCAGACACTGGCCAGACTTCAAGGCTGGGGTGATAAGGCAGAAGGCAAACCTACCGCCCTGCCAGCATGGTGTTGGAGGAGCCCCTGAACTCAGAGCCTGTCTGGCAGGGTTCAGTAAGACACTGTGCCCCAAAGCTGGAATTTCTAGGCCACATGCTATATACAGTGTCCCCTCTTCTCCATGCTTGTCCCTGAGTACCCAGCCTTTGCCAGACACGGGCAGCCGCCATGCTCCTTTGAGATCTTGATTTTATCCCTGCTTCCCCCCAGTCAAGAGGACTCTTGGTGACAGTAAACCGAGTGACCTGGCAGCACACGGTAAAGCTGGAGCCTGAGCCCCCCAGTTCTGATCCTGTCTCCACCCCAATGTGACTCCGGAGTTTTCCCGTCTCTCAGAGTTGAAGCACTTTATCAAGATGTGACATTTTATTTACCACTGGGACAGAGACAGAGCCTGGGTGGGCAGGAGCCCTGCCTCCTATGTTACCGATAAATATGAGTGTACTTCCTTGTAGCTGTGTGGGTTCTGCTGACTCACTTTCAGCATGGCTCTTCCTCAAAGGAGTTGGTTATTTTTTTTTTTTAATTTCTGGTGAAGCTAGGATTAGTGGTTTATGCTTAATCCCAGCACAGGCAGGCAGATTCCTGGGAGTTCAAGGCTAGCCTGGTCTACACAGCAAGTTCAAGGACAGCTAGGGTTATATAGTGAGGCCCTATTTCAAAAGAAAAAGAAAGAGAAAGAAAGAAAGAGAGAAAGAAAGAAAGAAAGATTCCATCAACTCTTTTTGCCTAGCACTCATTCTGATTTTTCAAATATTCAATGAAGCATATGATTTCTTCCCCAATAACTAATAACTTTCCTGCCAGAACAAACATAAAACAAAACCGAACCCCTGTGCCTGTGGGAACAGCAGCCCTCCATTCCTTCTCCCTGAGACCTCATCACTCTTTCTACCTCGATGGCCTGGCCTAATCTGGGGACATTGAAGGAGAAGGGTCATACAACAATTGTCTGCTTTCCTTCCTTCCTTCTTTCCCTTTCCTTTTTTAAAGCAGGGTCTCATTTAGTCCAGGCTGGCCTCAAACTAAGAATTTGGGGGTAACCTGAAACTTCGGCTCTGCCTCCCCTCCTGACTGCAGAATTTCAGGAATGCACCACATGCCCACTGTGTATAAGGCTGGAACTAGGGTTCCATGTCTGCTAGACAAGCTCTCTACCAACCTAGCTGCTTTCCTAGCCCTTTCCTTATTTTGTTTGTAATTTTATTTTTATTTTATTTTTTTTAATTTTTTAAAAGATTTATTTATTATGTATACAACATTCTGCCTCCATGTATGCCGGCAGGCCAGAAGAGGGCGCCAGATCTCATTACAGATGGTTGTGAGCCACCATGTGGTTGCTGGGATTTGAACTCAGGTCCTCTGGAAGGACAGTCAATGCTCTTAACCACTGAGCCATCTCTCCCGACCTTTAATTTTATTTTTAAAAGTTCACTTTAACTTTCTCTGTGTGTGTGTGTGCTTGCACATGCACCCATGCACTGGTGCACATATGTGTAATGCACCTGTGGAGTTAGGGCTCAGAGACAACTCAGCTTGCAGGAGCTGGTTCTCCCCTTGCACCGCTGGTCCTGGACACCAAGCTCAGGCTGTCAGGTTTGGCAGCGAAGGTTGTTGGTCACATCTCCAGTCCCTGATTGGTTGGTTGTTTTAGTTTGTTTGTTTGTTTGTTTGGAGACAGAACTTTTACCCCAAATGGTCCCAGGCAAGTTTCCAGGCTTGGTGGAGGGAGGAGGCACCCAGCACAGAGACAGACCCTGGGGTTCACAGACGGGAGGTGGGGGACTTGCATCACTGACCACCAGGTGGCTTTCTGAGTGCTGTCTGGCACCTGTCTGAGTTCACAGTGACATCCAGACTAGACAGTGCTTGAGTCAGTGTCCCTGCGGTGCCAGAGGAGGCTTCTGAACGACCAGAGCCACACTGTGTCCACTCCGGGCCTTCTTCACTCTACATGTAAACAAATATCCAAAATCCTTACGACAGAATGCTTACTGGGGCTGGGGAGGGGGCTTGGTGGCTAAAGTGCCTACTATGCTGTGGGGAAACGGAGACAGGAGGATGACTGGGGTCTGCTGGCTGCCAGCCGATTTAAAAAGCAAGAACTCTAAGTTCAGTGAGAGACGCTGCCTCAGAAGAAGAAGACAGACAGAGAGAGGGAGAGAGAGAGAGAGAGAGAGAGAGAGAG